TGTTTGCTTTTTGAGTGACGTTTTCCATCATTTGAATCAACTCAACATGGAATGCAGGGCAGGGATAAAACAGTCTCAGAACTTGTGGAGAAACTTCATGCTTTTCTAAGAAAGCTCTCACTCTTCTCTGCTGATCTTTGTCCTGGGAAGATGCTCCACTTCCCCACATTAAGGAAATCTGGTCTGCAAATTACTGAGGTGATGTCAGGCTTTATTGACTCACTGAAAAACAACTTTTCCACCAGGTTCGATGATTTCAGCATCTCCAGCGAAGTGGTGAGATATGTTAAGGACCCTTTCTGTGTGAATGTTGAGACAGACTTTGCATTGAAAGGAAAGGAGCTAGTACCATCATTGGATTAAGCTTTTTTACAACTGGAACTCATTGACATTCAGTCGTCAGATGACTTGCGACAGTCATTGCAGCAGGCAGGTTTTGAAAAATTCTGGACTCATGTAGTCAGCCAAGAAAAATTTCCACACTCAAGGGGTGTTGCACTTTTTCTTATGACAATGTTTGGCTCAACATACACTTGTGAGTCGTCATTCTCACTCATGAATGCCATTAAAACTCACAATCGCATATCCCTCACTGACCAGCATCTGCAACACTGCTTACGCATTGCCCTGACAACATATACACCTGACTTCACTGCTCTTGCTAAGTCAAAAAAATGCCATTTCTCTCATTAGATGCAAATGTTGGCAAACTACATGCAAAGTGACAGTCATGTTAGTCAAACAAGTAATGAGGATTGATTTTTGAACAGTATGATGCAATTAACATGTTATTCACCTCATAATATGCACTTAATGTTTTTTTAATATGGTATGGCTCAACTGAACTGAATATTGAGGTGTCTGATGCAATTTCAATATAGGCAGATAAAGGAAAAAAAATGTAAAGAGAGGTCAACTAAGGGACTGTTACAGTGATTTTTTTTCTCATATAGCAGGGCTAAAATGGCTGAGGTGATTATTGTTGAAAGCAGTTTGAAATGTGCCTTGATAAAGTTCACTGTTATGTTGTTGTAATTAGAAGCATACTATGCAGTTTTGTTTTTTATATTTGTTGGTGCACTTGGAATTGAAGTTGTTTGTCAGTTAAATGAATGAAAATGTAAACAACTGACAGTAGTAGTCCATGTATGGATTTATGTGTATATGTTGTTCTGCATTTACAAAACAGAATATATTGACTTCAGTATGTTGTAATTTCTTTTTTTGTTGCCGTGATTACTCATATTCTCTGGCCCCTTATTTTGCCTCAGATTCATGAACTGGCCCCAATTCCAAATTAATTGAATAGCCCTGCTCTAGGCCATCACTCCACCAATATTTTAAGGAGAGAGCAAAGATTGGCTCTTTTTTTTTTATTCATAATTTCTTTGCTAATTGAATGTCAATGACTTTTGGTCTCATCTGGAGACTTGATAAATGTCTTTAGATTGGACCATAATGTGGAGCTTTTTGGGATCTTTTCGCTTGTTTCATGTTTTCAGGATACACATTAATAGTTTCTTCGTTCTAACGTCTGAATGAGCCTCCAGAAACTGAAACTAATCATTTGGTCTTGAACGGTGAGAGGCACCTCACAGCATCTATCTACAAGAAAAAGGGGAAGTGATGCTGGGGACTGGAGTTGCAGGGTCCCCTGATACCTGATAATACAGAAACTTCATGCCCTCTTTGCACAACAGGATGCAATTCATCTGTGAGGGGGAATCATTTGTTCATCCAAGGCTCGGTAACCTGTAAGAGGAGGAAAATAGGAGACACTGCTTTGGAAAAGTGGAATTTATACACTGAAATAAATTCTAAGTCTAACTAAATTTTTTGAATAATATCTGCATTTTTCTTAAAGTGACCAAGTAAATTCAATTCAATTCAATTCAGTTTATTTATATAGCGCCAAATTCACAACAGATGTCATCTCAAGGCACTTTACAGTTCAACCAGATCATACAGTCAAATTGATACAAAGTTTTCTATCTAAGGAAAACCAGTTGATTGCATTGACTCAAATACAATCCCCCACACTAAGCATGCTTGTAGCGACAGTGGAGAGGAAAAACTCCCTTTTAACAGGAAGAAACCTCCAGCAGAACCAGGCTCAGTGTGAGCGGCCATCTGCCGAGGCCGACTGGGGTTCAAGGAGACAGAAGCAGAGATACAAAAAGCAGCTGTAAAAGGCGGCCCCGTCCAGGAAACACACAGCCAGGCAGACGAGCTCCAAGGCAGCTCCCATGCCAGAGGACGAAGAGAGGACATCCACTCAGTCACGGTCAGAGAAACAGGACCACACTGGAAAACAGGCCGATCTCCAACATCTATTAACAAGGGTGTTGATAGAAGCAGCACAGCTGATGTTTTTTTCCAGGATGACGTCACAGCCAAACAGGAACAGACGAGGCAAAGCTACTCTGAGGAAAAGCAGAGAGAGCAGAAGGTTAGAGATTGAACTAACAGATTCTGCAGAATAGGAGAACAGAGAGAGAATGAAGCAGAATGATGAAATGGGGGTCCCTATGTCCTCCAGCAGTCTAAGCCTATAGCAGCATAACTATAGAGATAGCTCAGGATAACCTGAGCCACCCTAACTATAAGCTTTATCAAAAATGAAAGTTTTAAGCCTAGCCTTAAAAGTAGACAGGGTGTCTGCCTCACGGACTAAAACTGGTAGTTGGTTCCACAGGAGAGGAGCCTGATAACTAAAAGATCTGCCTCCCATTCTACTTTTAGAAATTCTAGGAACCACTAGTAAACCTGCAGATTGAGAGCGAAGTGCTCTGTTAGGAACATAAGGAACAATCAGATCTCTGATATCAGATGGAGCTTGGCCATTTAAGGCTTTATATGTGAGAAGGAGGATTTTAAATTCTATTCTTGATTTAACAGGAAGCCAATGAAGAGAAGCCAGGATAGGAGAGATATGATCTCTCTTTTTCATTTTCATTAGAACTCTGGCTGCAGCATTTTGGATCAGCTGAAGGCTTTTAACTACAGTTTGTGGACTTCCTGATAGTAAAGAATTACAATAGTCCAGCCTTGAAGTAACAAATGCATGGACTAGTTTCTCAGCATCACCCCTGGACAGGATATTTCTAATTTTTGCAATGTTCCTCAGATGAAAGAAGGAAATTCTAGAAACCTCTTTGATATGGGATTTAAATGACAGGTCCTGATCAAAAATAACACCAAGATTTTTTACTTTATTATCTGAAATCAGTTTAATCCCATCCAAATGAAGTGACTGGCTAATTCACTAATAAATGGGACACTTTGTCGATGGAATACAACAATTTACATTTTTAATAACAAATAATCAACTGCAGTCTCTTATTTTAAGTGCATAATATGTAATAATCTTATTTTAAGGGTAAAATACTCCTTTTGTTCGCAGATCATCTGATTTACCACACAAACTAAGAGTAAATACTGTTTTAAGAAATTTGCACCCATTTATTCCTATCCTATTATTCCCATAGTGTGCCACCTGCTCTAAATATTTGTTAAAGGAGAAGTCCGGTCATATTGAGAATTCAAATTACTGAAAGTTCTTTAAATATTAAATTATTCTATCTTGTTCAATAAATGATCAGTGTTTTTAATTCAGAGTAATTTTCATGTGAATGTGCTTTACTGGAGGCATCCATGTTTGTCAAAGAACACTACTGCCACCTACTGGTTAGTGACGTCACGGTGCGGTATCGGCTGTTGATCAAGTCCCAGTGCTGTATCTGGTGTTTGTCACAACGCGCTATTATCCAAGTCATCTTGAAAACATTCTTCTTCCAAATGTTGGCTACATATTACGGGTTTTTTCTCTGGCCAGAAGTTCGATGGCAGATCCTCCCTCTTCAAGTTGGCGATCCAACGACCAACCCGTCCGTGGAGGATCAGGAATCAGAAAGGTGAAATAACTCTTTTTTTTCACTTTTACCCGATGTATTCCAGCATCCAGCTGCCATGCACGTGGGCATTGTCAGTTTCACTATAGCTCTGGTGAATTTCAATGATGAAGTCCTCTGGAAATCTTCAATAATTGTTGTTGATTGCAGATGTGTCTAGTAGTTCCCATTGATTTAGCTTGGAAAGCGGGGAGAATGGCGCTAGGCTTACCGCACCGTGACGTCACTGCTGGAGGATGGCAGGAGGGAGGGGCTACTATATTTGGGCTAAAATGGCCGCTCCCAGAATCACGGATTATTTTATTTTTTACTGATCAATGCTAAATTCATTAAATCAAAGCAAATGTATTAATTTTAGGTATAAATAATGATCCATTGATCATTCCTTGCTGACTAGACTTTTCCTTTGATGGTCTATGTTAAAATATTTCCTATAAACTCTGGTCTTTTGTTTTGTCGCATGAACAGAATCTTGTGTTGGAATAAAAAAAATGCCACCCTTTCACAAACTGCAAACAATGTATTCACATAAGTGTATTTAACTTTAAGTAGGTAAATAAGGAATAATTTTTACCCTTAAAATAACATAAGAATAAAATAACTTAGATTTCAATTTTTTAGCAGTGCAAGAATAGGGTGTGGCTGTAGAGAAGGCCTCTGCTGGTTTCCTTGTTCAACCACAGTCATTTTAACCTCACCACCATCATTTCATAATCCTGAATTTAAACTGTGACATCATTCTGGGTCTATATTCAGTTACAACAGAACCAAGCCTCTCTTCTGCTTACCGCAGACATCTCGTCTGAACATGTACACTGATTACCTGCCGGTGAGGAACAGACTCTGGTAATGATACAGAAAGGCCTGAAACAATCAACTCTACTGAAGAAATGATCAAATGTACTGATTGAACGGCAGAGAATTCATTCACTCATTAAATACAAACAAAGGCAATGAATGAGGAGACATTTACCAGGGGGTGAAACTAAAATGTTTATTTTTGAGCAAAGAAGAAAGGTCTCTATTTGTGTGGTTGGACATCAAACATTTGTGATAAAAAAAATACACATTAAAGATTTTTTTTTTTTCTATTAGGTTTGTTTATTTAAAAAAAACTGTTTTATCTGTCAAAGGAAATCTCAAGCAAAATTTCAGCTTCGGCAGAAGAAAAATCTGGGAGTTAATGAGATATTATTTCATTCCATGTAGAATCAGTACATTTTCCAGTTGTATTTACTCTCAGAAGTTGTGATTTATTTCCCATGACAGTGACAGAGATGAAATCATTGGCAGATAAAGATTACACGATTTATATACCTAACCTCTTCTACGATAAGGGTTAAAAAACAATGGGTGGCATTGGAAATAACATCAGACATTTCCTATCCTTAAAATGTAAATATGAAAGTTGGAAACATTTGTTGAACTCCAGGCTGAGAACTTGTTAACAAGCTGAAAGCCTGCCCTTCACAGGAGAATGCAGCTGCATGATGAACCCGCCCGACTGAGGATACCATGCTGGTCAGAGGCTACTGACTCAATTAAGCTCCAGAAGTGTTTGAAAGAGATGCCTTCGCCATCTCCCACACCCATCTTTCTCAGAATATCTCCCATTCCTTGGTCTGTGTTGACCCCCTGTGTGCACAGAAAAAAAAATGAGAAGGGTGATTAATCCAAACTGTACAGCAAAAACCAACAAACACTCCACTGTTTGTCCCTTTTGCATTGTGGCCTGGAATAACAGCGCAGACCACGCTTCAACATTGAGCATAAATCAAAAATATCTGCATCATATCTGCGACACGCTAACTGCAACACACTGCTGCGGGAGTATAACCCACCCTTTAGTGTGAATTAGGGATGGAACGGTTTGTGAAAACCGTCCGAACCGTTCGGTTCGACTGTCTCGGTTCGGTTCGCGTGTGTTGCGTTCGGTTCATGCGCAGCTCCGTTTTCTCATAGGTGAAGCGTTTACACTCCAGAGCAGAAGGTGGCGGTACTGCGACCAAAGCCAACCACCAGTAGTAAACAAGAAGAAGAAGAAGCGAAGCAGCGTAGCCGGGTGTAGCAGAAAAAAATCAGTTGTTGTGGAGAATTGTGTGGGTATGGCGAGTGGGAAAGAACAGGAGTTGGAAGACGCGCCAGCAGCATTTTATAGGTCTGCTGTATGGGACCACTTTGCATTTAGAGTGACCTACGATGACGGCGGAAAGAAAGTTGAGCATAAAAGTGCAACAGTGTGCAAGCATTGTGCAACACGTTTTGTTTATGCTAACAGCAACATGACCAACAAGTCATGCTAACCCCGAAATCCCTCATACTCCATCAGCGCCTTGCCCCACTGCGCTCCAGACCGCCTGCTCAAAGCAAAGCCTACAGCCTCCACTGTGGCTCCCGTCCGCTCCGCTCTGAGTTCCTTGGAGATGGTAGAGAGCATGCGCCAGATGATTAAATTCAAAGCAGCAAAACATGCGGAAATGATCCAGGGTTTCCGCATTTCATTAAAAATAATTACAATTCATTATTTTTTGGGATTTTTTCATTAATTTTTATGGGATTTCGGTGTAACAATCAACAAACAACGAACCGAACCGAAAACCGTGACCAGAAACCGTGAACCGAACCGAATCGTGGATTTTGTGAACCGTTCCACCCCTAGTGTGCATGGAGGCTTAAGGCTGATTTATACTTCGAAACTAGGTAATCTGCGTAGGTGTCGCAGTGAACGCAGAGACGTCCCCGCCCCCCCCTGACACTCTGCCGCACCTCTCCCAAATTATAGGTGACCGCAGACAGGAGTCCTGTGATTGGTCAGTCTTACATCCGCTTTACTCTATGCATATTTCCTGTTTGCTACCTTAGCGGCTTGTTTTGTTTGTATGACCGCGATTGTGGAAAACGACTGGTGAAGATGGACCAGCCAGAAGAGCGAGGTGCGCGAGAACGCTGGGACCCTTTTTCCACCTGGATCCCTGCTCTTTTTGGCCCTCATGTCCCCCTGTTGTCGCAAAAACTTGCCCCCATTTCCTCACGGCCTCGGCAGTATCTAGAACCACAGCTAGTTTCTGATTTTTTTCGCTTTTGCAGTATGGCTTGGAGTAACATAGTGCAGACCACGTTTCAATATTGAGCATAAATCAAAAATGTCTGCGTCATACCTGTAACAAGCTAACTGCTACACACTGCTGCGGGAGGATAACCAGGCCTTTAGTCTGCTACCCATTTTGTCCTTTGGACCAAATTTCTTTGCAACTTCTGGGTCTTCCTGAAGTCTTTGCAAGAAGTTTCTACTTTTCATCAAGTTTTCCGATTACCTCCTCCTCCGAGGTTATGTTTTCATAGAGTTTGTGTGTTTTGTGCTTTTCAACTTATGGACATAATTTAATGAAATTCTAATCAGAGGCGTTTCTCGTGCCAATGAACAATGAATTAAATGTTGCCGATGATTCTAATCTAGATACAGGTATTGTTTGAAAGATTCTCTAACATTGTGAGTTTGGGAAATTTGGCGAAACAAGCAGTCCCCCCACACAGCCTCAGTATCAGACTCAAAAAGTCTGGAGTAATTTTACTGAAGACCAAAACACAAGAAAAGGGAACGTTGTTGGTTTGTTAGCAGGATCGGTTGAAAACTTACTAATGTATTTTAAGAACTTTTTTTTTTTTTTTTTTTTACCAGAGATGCCGATCATAGAAAGTTTTTAGTTATAGATCTAATTCACAATTTAGGGCGAAATGTGCTGCTTGGCTGTGGCCTGTGTTCTCAGAGGACTTTTCTAGTTATTCATTCAACTCCTCTTAGAGTTAGAAATAAGCATTAAGGAATACTTGGTGGGTAATGCTGACTCCATTACTAATCCTTAAGCGTTTCTCGCACAGCATCTTAGAAAATAAAACCTGTTTACATCCCATCGAGGCAAGGCTAATTCATTTATAAAACACATTTCAGTACAACACTAAGTGCTGCATCTGCTGTCAGCAGAAAAAAAAGGAAAGTTGGAGGGAAAATGTAACTAATGAAATTTAGATAGCAAAGAAAAAAGCCATTTTAAACAAATATGTTTTCAATCTGGATTTTAAAAAACGGAGGGTTTCTTTCTGGGAATTTATTCCAGATTAGTGGAGAATGAGCTGAGCAGAAAATTGATAAAATGGATGAATTGAATTTTCTGTTTAAGAATATTTAGTTTTTAGAAAAAAAAAAAAAATAAAGTAAAATAAAAAAAAAAAATTCAGCATTTCTTGGGCTCCTATAGTTGATGATAACATGAAATTATAATTTATCTTTCTTAAAATGTGTAGGCCTAATTATAACTGCTAAACTGTTACATTTTCATTGTCAGCTGTGAAACATTGTTTTCTAAGCATTTTCATAGCTTGAAATGTGTTGCCCTTAAAATGTGTCCCGCCCAGAAGGGCAGATGAGAACTTTTCCATGTTTGCTTCTGTTTTCTGCAGAGTAGATCTGAGTGGTTGATGCATTGATTAATGATCTGTAATGTATACTGGAGCTAAATAAGCTCCTGTATTTTAGAGCCTCTGTAAGTCCAGCTAAATAAAAGTCATTTAGAGCCGCAAAAATAGAATGACCTCTAAATTAAACAACTTTTTTTTGTTTTTTGTTAAAGATGTAAAATGGTAAATCTGGTGCCATTTTAACAACAGCTCATTTTTAAAAGAGAGACAAAAATGTTAAATTTTCATAAAGATGAAGCATTGATTTTAGATTTTGTTCTATAGGATGTTAGTTTACAAGTGAATTTGACAAGAAATATAGATCTAAAAACACATTTTTATTTTTGGATAGAATTCTATGGTGAAACTTAAATTAAAATGTTTTTCTAAAAACCTGCTGGTAAGAATAATATTTGTTAATAAACTATATTTAGAACCATGATTTGGCCCTTTATCATTTTTAGGAGCCCCTGTAGAGGGTCCACATGTGGCCCTGGAGCCGCATGTTGCAGACCCTTGTTACGAACTAACAGACGTATTTTGAAGTTTTGAGATACACCGTTTGATATTTGCTATAACAAACTGCTTTTGTTTACAATTAAGTTTTTTTTGTTTCAGAAATCCAGTTAGCAGCAAACTTAAAAAAATAATATATATATATATATTTAAAACAAGTGGAATCAAATCAAGGGAACAAAGTGTTTCAGTGGTCATCCAAACAGGAAATGTCTCTGGCATTTAACACACAAAGCAGGAAGTCACATGACCTCAAACACTCACATAACTACTGGGAATTGTAGTTTTTTCCTATTAGCTTAACATTTCCTGTTGTTGCTTAGCAACTGAGGAGGTGTGGGAAAGGAAAATGAAATGTTTTTTTTTCCTTTCTCTAAATAGTTATCACATTTATCATTTATAGACTAAATCTTTTTAAGAAGTGTCCAATTTTGCTGAACTTTCTGGAACAGTTAAAATTTTCTCTCTCCTCTTCTGTATACAATATCAATTATACCAATTAAAATCAGCAGTTAACAAAAGTACTTCTTAATTACACCAACAATTATAAAAAAATAAAATAAAACTATTTTAATGAGTTAAGATGTTTACAGGTAGATGACTTTTAAAAACTTAAGTATGACTTATGATAGTGGTAAGTATGCAGTGCATCAATCAAACAATGTTAACCGTATCAGTGTGTGCAACATCCAACCATAAAGGGCTATTATGTCTCAGTGTTTGTAATATATTATATTTTAACTGTCTTATATTTCAGTTAGACTGAAAAAGGTCAAAAACATCGGCTAAATGGTGATAACTCAATATTAAACTTTAAAATCCTAATATTTTCTTAGAATTGGTGTTTAATCGTTTTAGATGAAAAGAAACTTAAATAAAGTTCACGTTGACCCATTTTTATAGCCCTATCTTTTTCACACGAGGGCATGCAGAAGAATCTGACTTTTTCATTTACACAATAGCTAAAAGTAGCAGGGGGAATATGGCCAGGTGGTTTTGCATAGATCTTGGAATCCTGAGGTTCTGAGTTTGAGCCCCACTCCCACAGACTGCCACTCTGGGTCCCTGAGCAAGACCCTTAACCCCAGACTGCTCCCCCAGGGCGCTGTGCAATGGCCGCCCAATGCTCCCCAAATGGATGGGCTAAATGCAGAGAGTTTATTTTGTTGCTGTTCTATAAAAGGAATAAAAAGCTGGAAAAAAAAAATACACTAGAACTTCCTGACTGCCTGCAGGTGAGCCCCCGATAGGGTGACCAGATTTGGGTTTCTGAAAAGGAGGACACTTTTGTTTGGGGGGGTGAGGACTGCTCGGCCGCTGACTGGACTGGACCTCAGCAGAGAGCCATGAGCCTCAGCTGGAGGAGCGGGGCTGGGGACCCGTAAGGCAGATGAGGAGAAGCACGGGGCCACCGGTGTCCGGGCTACCGTTACGGGGTCAGGTTCGATCACTCCGTCCCCCGCTGGCTCCCTACCCCCGTCCACCGGAGGACCAGCCCCAGAGCTGACGGCTCTGTTCAAGTGCCCGGTGTGTTTCGACTACGTGCTGCACTGTAGTCGATCAAAATCCCGGACGATTTTGAAATCCGCCCCGGACATTTTTTTAGGTCTGAAGAGTAGGACATGTCTGGGAAAAAGAGGACGTCTGGTCACCCTAGTCTCTAATTGGTGAAATTGGTCCTTCTGGTGGAATACAGGCAGGCTAACGTTAGCATCCTTATTTGAAAAATGAAACAACAACAACAACAACAAGCCACTTTCACAATCAGGATGTTTAGGGATAATCCAGATGTTTAATTGTTTCCAACAACCACCTTTTAATTAATTATTAATGAGTCAGATTTCTGGTTGTTAACTCCATTATTCATGAGTGCTATTGTGATCCTAACTTTTAGAAACAGCATTGCATTAACACTCTTCCTAGTTTTGTGAATACCAAAACATAATTTACAATAATGTGTGTAATAATTAAACAAGAGAACCAGCCAAATAAAAGGGATCTGTTTATGTGTTTTAAATGTATTAAACCAACAAAGAATATGCTGAAGATGAGTCAAGTTCCTGCTTGTTGATAAAGACTGAAGATTAAAGAGTGTTACAGTGTTTTCCTTGTTTCTGTTTGCTGGTGCGTGCCTGCCTGGCTCTGCTGAGTCGGCTCCTGACCGCCTTTGTTTGAGCTGAGTAAGGTGAGGCCAGTCGCCACACCCAGGTGCTAGAGTCAACAGCAGACTGGGCTTAGAGGGAGGCACGTGGAGTCTACGGGTGCTTTTACCTTCGTCAGGTTAGGCATCTGGGAGGACAAAAGACCTTTGAATTCATCTGTTTTCAGTGTTGGACTGTTGTCCGCTGAGGCTGAATGGAACTGGCTGACCAGTGTATCAATGGCCTTCTCCAGGTCGGAATACTAAACAGGAACAGAGACAAAACCGTCCATTAATCACCAACTTTTAACAATAACAGAAACAAATCCAGAATGATACAATAGCTGGGTCTGTTCTTCACTTCACTCTTTAAGTATGGAATTACATCACGCCACAGCGCTTCAAATTATCCGCATATCCTTTGACTCCTATTATTATTATAGTATTCACACTAAAATCAGTTAATGATCAAGTTTACAAACTGCAATTAAAAATGTTAAGCTAACCAAGTCATTATATGTTAAAATGAGTGCATTTTTTTTCTTTAAAGTCAGTCACTTTGCCAATGGAACAAGACAATTTACATTTATAATAAGAAAAAAATTGCATTGTCTTATTTTAAGTGCATATTATATAATTATCTTACTTTAGGAGTAGAAATACTCACTCCCTTGGCAGATCATCTTATCTATCTACTTAAATTAACTGGAAATACACTTACACTGAAATTTTTTTACTTATTTCTCCCTTGCTTTTGCTGTGCAAAAGTACGGAAGAGGATTAGGGCCACTGGAAAAAAAAAGAAAAAAGTTAACAGATTTTTTTAATTTTATTTCAGTATATTATGGGGAAAAACTCAGAATTCTGAGAAAAAAGTCAGAATTCTGACTTTAATCTGACTTTAACCTCAGAATTCTGACTTTTTTATTGCCAGAATTCAGTCAGAATTCTGAGAAAAAAGTCAGAATTCTGACTGAATTCTAGCAATAAAAAAGTCAGAATTCTGAGGTTAAAGTCAGATTAAAGTCAGATTAAAGTCAGAATTCTGACTTTTTTCTCAGAATTCTGACTTTAATCTCAGAATTCTGACTTTTTTATTGTCAGAATTCAGTCAGAATTCTGAGAAAAAAGTCAGAATTCTGACTTTTTTCCCCCATGTTAAACTGAAATAAAATTTAAAAATCAGTTAACTTTTTTTTTTTCAGTGGCCCTAATCCTCTTCCATACAAAAGGCAGCCACAACAAGGCTCTAATAAAAAAGTGAATAAAAATAAAGGTTTATGAAAATTTTTCACCAACAAATGAGTAAACAGAACATCCTGTCATGTTTGTGGACCTTTACCAATTGTTTCCATCATTTACCGGCTATGTTAGACAGGGCAGAAAGGGTGGAAACCACTGAAACAGAGACGTGAGGAAATTCCACACGAGCTGTTTGGAATGCCGTAAACATTCCTGGCAAATCGGCACAATTTGATGTTCGCCTGCATTCTGTGCAATTAGTCTCACAGATAACTTCAGTCATTTGTTTTCAATTAGTCATATTCCAAAGCAGCGTCATGACCACTGAAGCCAGACCTGGATCCTATCTCCATTGCATTGGCGATAACTCAATTCTATCTTCTGTTTAATTTCAGCAGCTCAAGCAACTCATTGATCTGATCGAAAACAATTTTGATCTAACTTTGCATGTTTCGAATGACACGCCACGGATGGTTGTGAGGAATGAAGAGCACTCATGAAAGCCTGGAAAGATGCAGAATGAACATAGAGAAGCAGAAACTGAAGGCAGATGTGCTTTTATTCTATTATAGCTTCAGATAAATAAGTGTCCTGTGATTCTGCTCTGATTTTTGAACCTTTTGGTTTTGATAACTACTGAATTCTTATTGTTTTGAAGGCACCAAAACAATTCATTCTAAAATATTCTGTCATAATTTGTGGACATTTAGATCTAAAGAGAAGCGTCACCTCCTGGTTAGACCCTGTAATTCAGTAAAAAGGTGGAGTCAGAGTAAAAAAATATGCACGTCCAGGAGAAGGTCAGTGGCTGGAAGATGGAGGGGATTTTGCTGCCATTCAGCTGCCATCTGACTGGGAAAGGCCATGTTGAAGGGCTGCTACTGTAAGCTTTCTCTAGTTTTCATCTACTGGAGCGAATCAACCAGGTGATGCAATGCGTTGATGCTATGCCTGGCTGTAAGAAACAGGAAGTAAAGGTAGCAAGCAGGTGCAGATCCCTGATGAGTAATGGAACGAGGGATTTAATGAATGTTGCAATCAGGCAAATTAGTATTAGTATTAGTATTTGGGATGGTATCTGGGTCTGTAAGGAGAGAAATATAATAATAATTCTGGCATTCAGGGTGCTGGTGGAAAAAAATCTGATCAATATTGATGTAAATGTTTGTTGTGTCAGAACTTATTATACAAATGTGTTTCCATCTCTTCTTTATACCACTTTCTTAATTTCCATCAAGCTCTTCTGATCTCATACTTGAAAATGTCCAAACAAAGATGTTGATGAAAGAAAGTCCCACTTTAGTTATTAACCCCCCCCCCTCCTTTTCCCTAGTTTGCGACTACACATATATGGAAAAAATGAATATTTGTAAAAACATTTTTTTCTTTACATTAACAGAAATAAGTTGGGACAACTAAGGTGATTATTAAATAATTTTGTTTCCATGAGATCCAAGGGTTACATTCCATAAACAGTGCAGTCAATATATATCCTGTCAAGTTTGACAGTGGATGGATCCCCCCAGGATTTCTGGGGGCAACGATGTTTGGGTTTCTATAAGGTTTATTTCTATATCGCCAATTCAGAACACGTCATCTCAAGGCACCACCGGATCATCCGTCAAATTGATTCAAAGTTTTCTATCTCAGGAAAAGCAGATGATAGCATTGACTCATTGACTCGAAGGCAATCCCTCACACTAAGCATGGAGTGACAGTGGAGAGGAAAAACAAAAACTCCCTTTTAACAGGAAGACCACAGGTTTCAGACCTGGAGCTGGTACTTCCATGACCTGATCTAAAAGAAGACAAAGGCGATGGATGGATGGATGGATGGATGGATGGATGGATGGATGCGAAAATCACCAACATTCCTCTGAGAATTATAGAATTGTGTCGATGTTAACGTTAGTTATGCCTAAACAAATGAGTTTCTCCTTTATCTGACCCTAAATGCTTTAGTTATTGTTGACATCAGACGACCTGCTGTGTTATACTCTAGCTTGGATGAAAAGTCTTTGCTATCGAGTGGAATATCAGAACACCAAACGTCTTCAGCACCACCAGCTCCTAGCTAAGGTTAGCTGAACCAATCTCCCATTCTATCTTTATACCGAACTAACCAGTCTTGGTCTGTGGGGGCAAAACAAAACGTTATAAAGTACATTTCTAAATTAATTCAGATGTTAATCTGTGAGAATATCATATCCTGACAGTTGAAAGTCTCTGACTAAGCAAATCTGCCTGCAGGAGTAAAGAAAACATTGAAGCAATGGGCCTGGTTCTGCTGGAGGTTTCTTCCTGTTCAAAAGGAGTTTTTCCTCTCTACTGTCGCTACAAGCATGCTTAGTGTGAGGGATTGCTGAAGAGTCAATGAGTCGATGAAATCAACGGATTTTCCTTAGATAGAAAACTGAATCAATCTGACTGGATGATCTGATGAACTGGAAAGTGTCTTGAGATGACATTTGTGTTGTGAATTGGCGCTATAAGCGTAATTGATTTAAATAGAATTACTATAAAATGCAAACAGTAGATCAATGACTGTTTTATGGCTTGTATTTGGTTGATATCCTCTCTCTGTATAAATATCAAACCAACAGAATCAGCAAGTCCAGAAATAAATCAACGTTCTTTCTGAAAAGATCTGTAAAAACTTTGTCTTCTTTTTTTTATCTTAGAATCTTGGGCATCAGTCTGAACATTTCTTTAACCATTTTATTCTAAAGGTTCATGAAAAACAGGAATACATGGAAAAACATTGTATGCTCCAGTAAAACGAATCCATAGCAATGAAAATCTTTGCTTAATTTTATTTTTTTAAGCTGTGCTTGGTTCAGTCCATCTTCATCCGTTTCTCTTCCTGAAATAGTCTTTTCATGTCACATGTAGGCTAAGCTTGGGCCGAGGACAGGCTTTAGTTTTAGTGTCTACCACACCCAAAGGCAGCTCTCTGCTGCTGAAACAATGACCCGCGGTACCTCTGAGCTTTCAGCTGTTTATTCAACAGCAGACTTTAGGGGAAGTTTATTTTACCTTTAATGAAAACAGAGAACAAGCAGATAATCTGTTTTTTTCTGATTTATTTAAAGTTTTAGGGAGAAACCATCAACTTAGAAGATGTTTTTAGTAAAAATGAGCTTTTCAGCAGAGTTAGAAAGGCCTTCTAATAAAAGTACCTCCGATTTTCTCCCCTTATCCTCTATTAAATGGTCATTATTCATGTAAAAGCGCCCTGAGATGGAAGGAGCCGCGCCGCGTCATGCGTCCTGCTCGGTGAGGCCTCCGCTGCGCGCAGCCCCGCTCCCTTTAACGCCCATCCTGCTCCCGGATCGAGCCATGGCTGAGCAGGAGTCCATCATGCAGCACAGCAGCTACATGTTACAGAAGATTAGAGCTGCGCACTGCCGGCCTCCGAGGAGCGGCTGACGCTCCTTCTCAGGGAGGGGCTCCTGGCCGCACACACACACATCTGGAAAGTTTTTACCCGAAACAAAACTCCTCGATGACGCTTTTTTAAGCTCTTCTGAATCTAATAAACACTAAAAACTCCAACAATCCGGCCGCTATAAACCAAAAAGTTCTTCTATTTTCCGCGATGGAACTTAAAGTTGTGAAAATGTTGTGGAATCCTCCAACCCAGCAGCAAACACCAACCCCCGCCATTAAACACTCGGAAGGACACAGACACAATCAAACAGCAGCTTTATTGCGATTTAAGGCAAAGATGGAGCAGTTTTAGAGGTTCTTACCGCAGGCATGTCGGCTAGACGGGGCGGCTTCCTGTGAGAGTCTGCTGTGTGTCAGTGGAACAGAGGCGCTGTCACCAGTTGGCAGCTCTTCTGGATCCTCCCTCTGCAGGTAGGAGGAGCTGGGAGCTGTCGCAGAGCAGCCAGGTTACACCACACCGAAACAGAACACACCTTCCCCTCTTATCAGTTATGCTCTAATGCATCAAAGTCCTAAAGTTAACCTCAGAGATCCACCTCACAGCTCAGAGCTCCACAGATGACTCAGCCCACATCTGGAACTATTTAGTAGAGCTTTTTATTATTTTTTCACACACTGGTGGCCTGCAAGTTAAAGGTGGGGTATGTGATGTTTTCTGGAGCATGTTTTTACCATACTGATTGAAAACCTCCTCACGAGCCCATTGCGCCAACTGAGATAGAATGTTTGGAAAAAAAACGAAATCTTTTAGTCCAGTGTAGAGGGCGTAGTCAGAGGAAAACGCAAACCAATAGAAGTAACTATCATCCCTACTTCTACTGGTTTCTGGCACGCCCATCAACCGTCAGCTCTGAGCTCTCCCCACCCCTCCCCCCTGCGCGTTCACAGACTCGTGACACCCCCCCCCCCCCCCCCCCCCCCCAAGTGCCGCTGAAGGGAGGACCTGTTCGAATTTACAGACAGAAGAACTCTTGTGGTCTCCTTATTTTCAAGGACTTCGAAGGGTCCAGTTTAGGTAGACCGCGTCCTTGGAGGATGCAGCCCAGGGGTTTTGAATAGAGCCTCTGATTAAGAACAGGGCTGCCTGCACTGACGCGGCTCAGGGATTACGTCACACGGAGCGTCGTGCGCAGTGAAATCAGGACATTTCCTCACTTTCTAAAAAAAACCCGGGACGCCCGGGACAGGACGTGAAATACGGATATGTCCCGGGAAATACGGACGTTTGGTCACCCTAATCAATACTTCTTGAAATGACAACCGTGACAACTTGTTTACGACCATATTGAATTGTTCAACACTCTTACCGTACTAGGAGAAGACGACGCCATCATGGAAGTTAGCCTGTTATGTTGTGGATAGCTAGTAATAGACATGAGCTTCTCGCCTCATCCCGAGTCACGTGCACTCGCGAGGTCTCGGCCTGTTTCGTTCTCGGGAACATCCGAACATTCTCGACTGACAGCAGGCGCGTTCATGTAATTTGGAGGCGTGGTTTCGTGGGGTGGGCTGAAGGTGTGTATTTTCAAAAATGTAGCTGGCAGGAACCGTTTATCCAGGATCATATACCCCACCTTTAAGGCTGGTATTCCCCTTCTCTTCTAGACGTTTAACTTAAAGGAATAGTACACCCAAAACATGATTAGCCTTCATTTTCTACTCACCCCCATGCTGAACAACACTCTGGAGTACTTTTTTGATATCTCAAATGCATCTGGAGATCTGGGAGGCTTCTTGCTGTCTGCTGACATTCAAATAATGGAGGTCTATGGCGCCCGAGGCAGAAAGGTCCATAAAAGTCCACAAAAAACGTGTCAATATTCCTCCATACTGCTCGTCCAATGTATTCCAAGTGTCCTGAGTGGGTAGCATCCAGAATTTACTCGAAACGAAGTCATTTAGAATGTTTTTAGAGCATAAACAGTAGTTTATAGGATTTCCTGAAAGCGCGTTCACGAGTCTACGGAAACCGCGGCAGACCAAACCAGATGAAAGTGCGCATTCAGCGTCTGCTCTGCCGATAATGCAAGCGTAGAAGAAGAAATGTGCCGTTTACCTGTGCAAAGAAAGAAACAACGAAAGAAAAATGTCTGAGAACTTCAGTGTTGAGGAAGAGCATGAGTTCTTTGCCGAGCTGAATGCGCACTTTCATCTGGTTTGGTCTGCCGCGGTTTCCGTAGACTCGTGAACGCGCTTTTAGGAAATCCTATACACTACTGTTTATGCTCTAAAAACATTCTAAATGACTTTGTTTCGAGTAAATTCTGGATGCTACCCACTTAGGACACTTGGAATACATTGGACGAGCAGTATGGAGGAATATTGACACGTTTTTTTGTGGACTTTTATGGACCTTTCTGCCTCGGGCGCCATAGACCTCCATTATTTGAATGTCAGCAGACAGCAAGAAGCCTCCCAGATCTCCAGATGCATTTGAGATATCAAAAAAGTACTCCAGAGTGTTGTTCAGCATGGAGGTGAGTAGAAAATGAAGGCTAATCATGTTTTGGGTGTACTATTCCTTTAAGGCTGTCGTCTCGAAGTAGAGCTTCTAGAGGGGGTTTCTCATATAGATGGAGGCTGAGACAGGCTGAGGCAGAAAGCAGAGATGGGGAAAGAGGAGGGAACTGGTTGAACCACATTCCTTTTGTCTGATTAAGTCACACAGCTCACTAAAGCCTCCTCAGAAACTGCTGGAAAAAACAACATTTTAGAGCTGGTGAAGATTCTCAGTCATCCGCGGCAAAGTCATTCCCAAAAAAGTTAAAAAACAATCCTTTGTTTCCAAGTTTGAAGACGTTTCTCTTCACATCCAGGAAACTTTTTCAATTCAAAATGGCATAAATAGCGTTGAGTTCCAGGCTTTTTAGAGCAGACCAAAAACGAAGTCTTGTTTTGGCTTAGAAAACATTCAAATTGGACTTTCTGAAATTTTGAATTGAAAAAGCTTCCTGGATGGGAAGAGAAACGTCTTCAAACTTGGAAACAAAGTCCAGAGCATGTTGTTTGTTTTAAAAACTTCCTTGGAATGACTGAACCGAATGACTCAGAATCTTCACCAGCGACTCAAGCTTTGGTCTCCGTGGTCTAAGTTTTAATAAGGAGTCAGAGCAGCAGTAATGATTGTAATGACCCCTGCCTGCCTTATACTGTACACCACAGCAGGGGCGGATTTACCATTAGGCAAAACTAGGCAGTTGCCTAGGGCCCCAAGTTCCTGGGGGCCCCATAAAACTCATTTTCCATACAGCTATTACTTATTTGTGCACATTAATTATGTTTTTAATAAAAATCCCTTAATTAAAACGCCATCAGAATGCTTATAATATTAAGCATGTCTCAGGCACAGGTGTATTCAGCAACTTTTCAGACCCCTCTAGCACTTTTATTTCAAAAAAGCTCCTAGCGCCAAATCTAGAGACTTTTTTCTATTTCTGGAGACTTTGGAGACAACATCTAAAAGCAGCGAACTCTGCTCTCCAGAGCGAGTAGATTGGTAACCCCGCCTCCTGCTCTCCTCTATCTTGTCTGCTGTCATGATTCATGCAGCTATTATTTCATCCAAATGAAAAATGGAGAACAGATAAGCAGATCATGGCTTGTCTACAGTGAAAAGAAGGACTGGGTTATTTACCTTTGCTGTTGCCTTTTTGGAAACACAGGAAGGAGCAAATCGGTTAAGCAAGCTTAGTTTCATTCCTTTTGAAACGACATGAAAAGTCAGCTGAGTACAAAACAGAGGAAAACAAGAATAGGGACAAAACATAGAACAAATAATGAATTTCTGTATCTGTGGGTCTGTTTTATGTTTTGTCTTCTTAATTCAAAGGGCCCTCTGCCTGTCTTTGCTTAGGGCCCCAAATTTCCTAAACCCGCCTCTGCACCACAGTAAGAACTCCAGTGTAAATAATATGTTGGATTCATTCCCTGATAACTGCCTGCATTTAGTGATAAGAGAGACAGAAGAGATAATGATTAAAGATATGTTTGAGGATCCAATGCTAAAATGTCTCAAAGAGCAGGATAAAAACTGTTATCAACTCTGCAGCTGAACTCTTGATTTTTTCTTACCAAACAACAAGTTTAAGTCCCTATAAATTATGGACCGAATAGACTGATTACAAAGACAGAAAGGTTTTTTTTAAAGTGCAAGAAGGGCGGAGTGTGTTTTAGGAGTGAGGGCAAAGGTCCCCCATTTTAAAGCTTGATTCACACAATGATTCACAATGAGTCTCTGATTGTTTTCTTCATATTGCTTCACAAACAACACAGCTTTTGTTTTCCATTGTGGAGCAAATCCAGACCTTAAATGGCATAAAACAAAACAGTGGTGAAGTAACCAGTAAAATCCCTGTTTTTTCTACATCTAAGGAGAAAATATGCAAACTTGACAAATCAAAAAGAACCTTAACAGGGCAGCCCTGCTGGAGTCCAACATGCACCGGGAACAGGTCTGAGTCAAAGTACAACTAAAGCCTCCAGTTTAATGGATGTCAGCTGAGGACCCAAAGAGATGATTTCTTGCATTTAATTTAGAGGTAGATGGTAACAGAGGCAATAATTCGGAAACAAAAATAGGAGAAGCAGGTAGAAACATACATGAGGAGGGAAGATGACCCAGCAATGGGGAGCAGCAGAGGAGCATATATGGGAGACAACTGTTGACATCTGTGTCCCTAATTGATCCTGGTATCCACTTTTGGATGTGGGCGTGGCTTCACACCTGTGTGCAATCATCAATAAATAGCAGCAGCTCATTCATTAAAATGATTGCATGCAGGCCAAACAAAATAAGACCCATTTTCTAACTCTAGAAAATAATGAATGACAGTTGGAGCTATTTATTCTTTATTTCTTTATCCATTTGAATTGTGTTAATTCCTAAACTTTGTGGTGTATCTGAATACAGTACAGCAAGGGTTAATGCTTTACGCAGGTTACGTACAGGGAGTACTGTAGACCAATAGGATTGTGTATGTGGGATCACGGGGGTGTGTGACGCCTTACGTCTGGGAAGTTGGGTGTTCAATAAAGTTTCGGAGTAACGTCAAGACACAGTTGGTCCGCGCTGATTTATTTCCTTAAAAATAGGAGATACGACATGGTGTCAGAAGTGCTGTGTTTATGACGGAAAAGAAAAACTGAAAGTGAACCCGGTCCACGGCGACAGAGACGGAAGGAGAGACTTTGGTGGATGTTATGACCGAACAACGGGAGGAAAACGTTGACGTGCAGCAAAGGGAAGCGAGCATGGCGGCTAACGCACCGACTGCTACATTTAACATCCAGCCACCGGAGCCCTTCGATTTCAATAAACCGCTTGAGTGGACAAAATGGATCCGGAGGTTTGAGAGATTTCGGCAAGCAAGAAACTTGGCCACGAACTCCGAGGAGCAACAGATTGACACTCTGATATATTGTATGGGGGATGAAGCCGACAGTGATGGAACTAACGGCGTTGAAAGTAACGGCGTTACTAACGCCGTTACCTTGTTTTAGTAACGAGTAATCTAACTAATTACTTTGACTGTAACTATAACGCAGTTACCATTGCAGGCACCCCGTTACTGCGCGTTACTCAGGTCGCACAATGAACCTTTTTTCATGATAGGACTCGTGCGCAGCTGCGTGAAGCTGACACCCCACCCACGTCAAAAAACTCTGCAAATAGACTGAATGGTTAGTGCAACGTTAGTGCAGATTTGTGCAGAAAAAAATATTGTTTGTGCTACTTTTGTTTAAGAGATATTAAAGATTTATTTTAGGTCATCCAGAGGTGCGCGCCTTGTCCTGAGAGGGGAGGATGAGAATGGCTGATGAATAGTGAGATTCCGTCTGTCAGTTGAATAGGTGGGTGTTTCTGCTGGCGGGTGTTAACGTACAGCACACACAGAGAGATGGAGAGTGAGGATGACTCCAGCAGCAAAACAGCGTTTTCCACATGGAAATACCGGTGTTACGTAGAGCTGCGTTTCCCCATCACATAACGGTTTCCTCTGCATCTCCACACAGCGCAGGCGGCAAGAGTCACCGCGCAAGCGACAGGAAACGCGCATGCTCGCTAAATGCGCGCAACAGTCGCCCTGTGCTCGCGCCACAGGAGAACTATGGAGAGCGTGAACGATCAAATGAACCTGACAACAGCCAGAAATGATAGCCTATATGGAGAAAGGGAGAAATCTGGATGGATGGTTGGATGGATGGATGAATGGATGGATGGATGGATGGATGGATGGATGGATGGATGGATGGATGGATGGATGGATGGATGGATACTCTGCCTTCTCAACTTACTGTTTTTTTTATTTTAAACAATATTTGATGGCCTTTGTGGCAGGGATGGAGATCCATATTTTATGTCACACACAGAGTATACATCTAGATAGATAGATAGATAGATAGATAGATAGATAGATAGATAGATAGATAGATAGATAGATAGATAGATAGATAGATAGATAGATAGATAGATAGATAGATAGATGTTGCAGTATCTATAAAAACCCAAACACACAGGATTTCAGAATTAGACATCCCCAGTTATTAATTTCATATACTCACCGGATCTGAATGTCCTGTTATAAAACTTCACATGGCGTTCCCCCCTGATGTCATTTACGTTGAGTTGCAATAAATGCTAAACTGTCTGCAGGTTCTTGTCTTTGTCGTCCGCTCTATTCAGCTGGCTTTGGAAACACACGGCGAGAAGGTGGGGGCTGGGTGGTGAGGTTTACGGGGGCGAGAAACTCAAAAGTAACGCAATAGTTACTTTTACTAGTAACTAGTTACTTTTATTGTGGAGTAACTCAGTTAGTAACTCAGTTACTTTTTGGGAGAAGTAACTAGTAACTATAACTAATTACTTTTTCAAAGTAACGTGCCCAACACTGGAAGCCGACGATGTATTGAGAGGACTGAAGCTAAGTGATGCTGTCAAGAAAGAGTACGACAAGGTAAAGAATGGATTCGGGGATTTCTTTGTTGTGAAAAAGAACATTGTGTATGAACGCGCATGCTTCAATATGCGAAAACAGGAGCCAAATGAGACTGTCGAAGCATTTGTTACTGCTCTGCATGCTCTAGCTGAGCACTGTAAATACGGAGACTTGCATGATGAGCTCATACGGGATAGGATCGTAGTGGGGCTTGCAGACACCAGACTTTCCGAACGACTGCAGATGGAGGGGAATCTGACTCTGCAAAAAGCCATAGATATGGCAAGACAGTCGGAAGAAGTAAAAAAGCAACAGAGCACACTTAGAAGTGACGCTAGCAGCGTGATGCAGATGGAGGGCAGCTCCATAGACAGACTGATAAAGAAGGGACAGAAGTATGTATACTCAAAAAGCAGTGGTGCCCGTGCACGCCAACGCTCGCAAGGCAGAGACAAGGACATGCAGCCCAGCGCCCGGTGTTTCAAATGTGGAGGTCCCTCTCACACCAGAGCGGAATGCCCCGCCAACGACGCAAAATGTCGGGGCTGCGGAAAAAAAGGCCACTACCAGCGTGTCTGCAGAAACAAGGCTGTAGTAGCGTGCATTGAGGAAGAAGATAGGAAAAGTTTCTTCCTGGGTTCTGTGACATGCAAAAACAATAAGTGGGAGGTGGATGTCGAAATAAAAGGGAAACGGCTGAAGTTCAAAATTGACACTGGCGCAGATGTAACTGCGATTTCTGAAAATGACCTGAAAGACTTGTACACAGGGGCACAAAGGCCTGTTCTCCATGAGCCAGAGAAACCCTTGCTGGGTCCAGGAAAGACACAGTTAGAGGTAGTGGGCTATACAAAGCTGCAGCTGACATATAAAGCTAAGCAGACGGAGGAGAAGGTTTATGTGGTCAAAAACCTGGGCACACCTTTGCTTGGGTTACCTGCCATTATTGCCCTGAACTTACTTATTAGAGTCAACAGTGTCACTATGGACTCTTTAAAGACAACCTACCCAAAACTTTGCAAGGGTCTAGGCGACATTCAACGACCTTACCATATCAAGCTCAAGCCTAACGCTATACCATTTTCTCTAAAGACACCACGGAGAATCCCTCTGCCACTGATGGGAAAGGTGAAGGAGGAGCTCCAGCGAATGGAAGAGATGGGGGTCATCAGGCGCGTTGAAGAGCCTACAGATTGGTGCGCTGGCATCGTCGTTGTCCCAAAGAAGAACAGCCAGCGACTACGCCTGTGTGTGGACTTCACAGGTTTGAACCAGTATGTGTGCCGCGAGAAGTACGTCCTACCATCAGTCGAACAGAGCCTAGGGATGCTAGCTGGAGCCAGGGTCTTCAGTAAGCTAGACGCGAACATGGGTTTCTGGCAGATTCCCTTAGCAGAGGAGTCAGCGAAGCTCACAACATTTATAACACCTTTCGGACGGTACCATTTCCAGCGTCTTCCGTTTGGGATTAACTCTGCGCCTGAGCACTTCCAGCGTGTTATGGCTGAGGTCATAGAAGGACTGGATGGGGTAGTCTGCCACATCGATGACCTGCTGGTATGTGGAAAAGACCAAGATCAGCACGACGTTCGTCTACATGCCCTACTGAGAAAGCTCGAGCAAGTAGGGGTAACTTTAAATACAGACAAGTGCGAGCTCTCCAGGAGTGAGGTGGTCTTCCTCGGGCATGTCATCACCGCGTCAGGTATCAGGCCTGATCCAGAGAAGATAAAGGCGATCAGGGACATGAAAGAGCCTACGAACGTGAGCGAGTTGAGGAGCTTCCTGGGAATGGTGAACCAGGTGGGGAAATTCATACCCCAACTGGCAGATAAAGACAAAGCTCTCCGCAACCTCCTCTCAAAGAAAAACTGCTGGCTGTGGGGTGTGGACCAGGCGGCGGCTTTCAGGGTGCTGAAAGAGGCACTGACCTCTCCACCGGTCCTAGCCATGTATGACACGAGCAGGGACACCAAAGTATCGGCAGACGCCTCATCGTACGGACTGGGGGGTGTGCTCCTCCAGAAATGGGACAGTGAGTGGAGGCCGGTGGCTTACGCATCCCGCTCACTTTCACCCACAGAGCAACGCTACGCGCAGGTCGAAAAGGAGGCCCTGGGTCTAACCTGGGCATGTGAGCGCTTCCGGGACTTCCTGTTAGGAAAGCACTTCTGTCTAGAGACTGACCATAAACCACTCCTTTCCTTACTGGGCGCACAAGCGCTCGACCTGTTGCCACCAAGGATACAGCGTTTTCGAATGAGGCTCATGCGCTACTCTTACGACATCGTGCATGTTCCAGGGAAATCGCTCTGGACTGCCGACACGTTGTCACGGTCACCAAATCAGGAACAGATGACCGCAGATGACACCGAACTAATGGAGAGCACGAACATTTATGTGGACTGCATTGTCAATAATTTGCCGGTCAGTCCCACGTTTATGGACACACTAAAGACACAGCTGGAGGCTGACAGTGTGTGCTCTCGCGTCATGAAAATGTGTGCAGACGGATGGCCAGAGCACGCAAAGCAGGAACCGCTCCTAAAACACTTCTGGCCTGAACAGGCCACACTCACTGTACAAGATGGATTGTTGCTGAAGGACACGCGTCTGGTCATTCCAGCAGCAATGCGGAACGACGTGCTGGACAGGCTGCACGAGGGTCATCAAGGGGTTGTGAAGTGCAAAGCACGTGCCCGTCAGACCGTGTGGTGGCCCGGGCTCGGACAACAAATCACGGAGATGGTGCTCAGATGTAGAACGTGTCTGCAAGAGCGCCGTAATCACAGTGAGCCGCTCATGCCGTCAGACTGCCCTGAGCGCCCGTGGCAAAAGCTGGGGGCCGACCTCTTTGAGCTAGGGGGGAAGATCTATCTCCTCGTCGTTGACTACTTCTCCAGATATGTCGAACTCGCCCTGTTGACACACACAAAATCCAAGGATGTGATTAACCATCTCAAGTCAATGTTTGCCAGGCACGGCATCCCAGAGAGTCTCATGTCTGACAATGGGCCTCAATTTTCCGGCCAGGCGTTCACTTCCTTCGCCACAGCATATGGGTTCAGACACCTTACCAGTAGCCCCAAATTCCCACGTAGCAATGGCGAGGCTGAGCGAGCTGTACAGACCATGAAAAATCTTCTGAAGAAAGCATCCGACCCGTACATGGCTCTTCTTGCATATAGAGCCACTCCTCTTCAAAATGGATACAGCCCGGCACAGTTGCTCATGGGTCGACGTCTCCGCACCACAGTGCCGACACATCCATCTGAGCTACAACCTGCGCTGCCTGACCGCAGCTTGCTGTTTCAGAAAGAAAGGGAGAAGAGGATGTCAGATGCTGCAAACTTCAACAGGCGTCATCGTGCGAAGCCACTTAGTGGCCTGTCACCAGGTCAGGAGGTGTGGATGACTGACTCAAAAACATCTGGGACAGTAATCCAGAGGCACACCTCGCCGAGATCTTACCTTGTGGACACACCGCATGGGGAGGTAAGACGAAACCGCATGCATCTTATACCACTCCAGTCGCCAGCACAGGATGAGGGTGGACAGCAGCAACAGGAGCCACTGCCGGTCCTAGAGCAGGATCATGCTCCACCTGTTTTGGGGTCTCCAGTGCCTTCTCCGGGAGATTCTACTCCCAGAACCAGGTCTGGAAGGGTGATTAAACAGCCCACTAGACTGAACTTATGAGTAAGAGAAAAAAAAAAGAGAGAGATGGTGTTAATGTTCATAATGTGCGGGAAATGTTGTTTTATAATGTACCGGTTCCAGAGGAAAAGTGTACTAAAAAAAAAAAAAAAAGAAGTTTGAAAGCGCGTTCACGGCGCTATGGAAACCGCGGCAGACCAAACCAGATGAAAGTGCGCATTCAGCTCGGCAAAGAACTCATGCTCTTCCTCAACACTGAAGTCCTCAGACATTTTTCTTTCGTTGTTTCTTTCTTTGCACAGGTAAACAGCACATTTCTTCTTCTACGCTTGCATTATCGGCAGAGCAGACGCTGAATGCGCACTTTCATCTGGTTTGGTCTGCCGCGGTTTCCGTAGACTCGTGAACGCGCTTTTAGGAAATCCTATACACTACTGTTTATGCTCTAAAAACATTCTAAATTACTTCGTTTCGAGTAAATTCTGGATGCTACCCACTCAGGACACTTGGAATACATTGGACGAGCAGTATGGAGGAATATTGACACGTTTTCTGTGGACTTTTATGGACCTTTCTGCCTCGGGCGCCATAGACCTCCATTATTTGAATGTCAGCAGACAGCAAGAAGCCTCCCAGATCTCCAGATGCATTTGAGATATCAAAAAAGTACTCCAGAGTGTTGTTCAGCATGGGGGTGAGTAGAAAATGAAGGCTAATCATGTTTTGGGTGTACTATTCCTTTAATTTATAGGTTAATTGTTGCATTTTTGTGTATCTATTTTTTGCTGTTTTATTATTCTTTCTTTAGTTATTTTATGTAAAACAGGAAGAAATGTGGGCTGTCCACTTTCTATAATTGTAGGAGCCTGGTAAGGACCAGCAGGCATTTGGGTTAGGGGCCTATGGGTTTTTACCAGTGCAAGAGAGGTGACAGGGCAAGGAAAGTTTGAACTCTGTAATGTTGCAAAATATAGAAAATAAATCAACTGAACATCTACAAGTTTGGACTTCAACTTCTTTTGCCTGCGTCAAGAAAACGTGACCCCAGTGCCTATAGTGGCTTATTGGAACTTTATTGGATGTTTTTGTTTGACAAACAATTGCCACTACAATGACTAAGGGGAAAACTAGAAGACAAGGGACTGGAGATAACAAAAAACCAACAAAGCCCCGTCACATCTTGACGATTTGACCAGCATATGCCTGACGTACAAAAAATCTGGCAAAAATCTGGCAAAAATGCTGGCATACGTTGGATAAGTTACGGGTACATTTTGTATCAGTTATGAGCACGCTGAAGCATCCTGGCACACGTGTGCCAGTCATTTTCAAGTTTTCAAGTTTGAGCTAAAAATTTCTTGACGTATGTCAGCATATGCCATACATGGGCTATAAGTTATAGGCAAGTTATCTGGTGGTAGAAATACATTAAATGTCGGTTCCTCATCAGTCGTGGCGTCTAGCTTATCCTAAACCTCTGAGTAACTTGTGCATAACTTCTTCGTAACTTATCCAGAACTTTTCTCAAAGCATATCAAGGTATCTGCCGTGTTCCAGACGAGCGCTGAACGTGTTTCTAACTTCCAGCTGCTGTATAATGGCGTATTGGCAGCGTTTTGGTATAAAGGGGGTTCTTTCTTCTTCTTCTTTATTGTTTTTTATTTATTTATAAATTTATTCTCTCTTTTTTTTATGGGTAGTAAACAGCAGCTTATTAATACGTTGATCAAAGAAATCTCTTTATGTAGAACGTGCGCCACCATTGCTGCCTCCTTCAGGACGCTGGGTTGTGCATAATTTCATGGGCATTAAGCTGCCGTATGTTATGCATAAATTAGGCTGTTGTTGGACATAATTTCTGGACTCGTTATGAATACTCTATGCATACATCCAAAATGTAAAAAATCCATAGAAAGATGAGTTTATGCCAGCGTTTTAAGAGATTCTGAGACGTCAGGCACACGCAGGCTAAATCAGCAAGGCTGAACAGCTGCCCAAAACTAAGATATAATAAAAAAGATGATATAATTTTAACCATAAAAACTGAATAACTAATCCAAGCCAAACTGAAAACCCTAAGTGATCCCTATCTACCACTGGCATTTACAGCAATACAAACATGGCAACAAGGGCAATCCCAATGAGAATAGTTTTGTGATGGAGATGGCATTTGAGACAGAGAATTTTTCTTCTCCATCTTTCCCAGAAACAGAGTAAATGTGGCGAAGAGAGGAAAGTTCGGTGGATGAGGATGAGGACACCAGCAGCCCTGATTTCACCAGAAAGTAGTGATGTTATGAGATGAGCCGAGTAATGGAGGGGGCGTTTCCCCAAAAAGCAAGTCAAGGTGGGATTCATTTAGGGGAGGAACCCTAATTAATGACACCCAAAGCCTGTGTACCATGATACCACGCGACCACTTCGGGAAGTGGTTCAGACTGCGCCAGAACTTCAACAGGAACTTAAACAGCCTCAGTATTCAGTCAAGATATGGGAGTTTGTAGGAGAGTTGCTTTCAGTTTGATAGAGTTTGGATAGATGCTAAGAATATTTTGGTTGCAAAACAACCACTCTAGTTATTTAAAACTATTTTGGTCAGATTAAATAATAGAATTATAAAAATCTGAGCAATCCACTTGTTACAGTTGTAACATTAGTAATACGTAGTACAGGGTTCGTACGGGTGCTGGAAATCCTTGAAAATGCTTGAATTTTGACGTTGTGCTTTCAAGGTTTAAAAAGTGTTTATATTTTGGATGAAATTTTTGAAATTGTAACTATTTCTTTCGCAACAAATCCCTATCTAACTGAATCATGTTTTTATTAAATGGAAAAATAAAATGTTGGAGAGCCCGAAAATGAAACCTGCTCGGTTATGTGTGACTGCGATCTGCCAGTCTATTTCCATGTGTGACTCCGCCCCCATGAAACCACTACTGCACCATGCCGGGAGGTTGTCGTTTCAATGAACGTTGGCTGGAAGATGAAAAATACAAATTATGGATTAAACCCCACGAGTTGCCTCTTGTGTTTGTGTTTGTCGTCTTCATCATCGGTGAACTATATGTGGAAAGCTAAGTAGTTAATTAAAACTGATAATAGAAGATAAATATCTGCCTCGTGTGCTTTGACAAATTAAGATAGGATTTAGTTTTATGCATTCATTTCAACACCCCCCCACCCCCGGCCGTCATCCGCACAAAAATGGTTCCGTAAGGTGCTGGAAAAAGCTTTAAAATGGATCTTGAAAGTGCTTGAAAAGTGCTTGATTTTGACTTTGGAAAAGGTGTACGAACCCTGGTAGTATTGCTTTCCAGAGGGCAGTTACCATTGCTAATGGTGTCAGCTCTAACACATGGACTTCCACTCTGGAGGTTGATGGGTCAAGACCCACCTTAGACTTTTTAAAGTTGTGACAATACTTAGCAAGTATTTTGGCTAATGTGTTTAATTTGTATTGGTTTGCCCTAATATAAATATAGATTGGGTAAAAACACTGCCAAATTAGATTGATTGGTTTCATCAAAAGATTGCTTGAACACATAACTTCCAACGTCATTAAAACCAAAAACTGTGGAAAAATGTGAATAAAAATTACTAAAACCTTTGATTTTGCGTATCATTGCCCAATTTGCACACTTTCACTGTTTGCTTGAGCTTATTTCACTGTGTACCTTAAATGATTGTTCTCTACTAAGACATTTCACACTTACAAAAGATTTTATTATACTCACCAATCATGAACAATTTCAAAGAAACTTAAATGGGAATAAAAAACTAGAAAAACGCATGCAAAAAATCACAGATTATATTGCTAACTGTAGTTCTGCACTCCACCAGTAGGTGGTGACATGTTCCCATGAGGCTTCATGAACTGTGGGGATCGTTGAAGTAATTTTGCCAAACGGTTCAACGCCTCATGAGGCTTCGGCTGTGTTTTAACTTATGGGCCGATTACGTTATAGCGCGGCGCCAAAGTCTGGTTGGATTCCAACACTCCTCGTTATGCGGCCTATAAATGCGTCCTTCTTTTTGCCTGATTTGAAGGACGGGTCCGGTGTATCCTATCTAGCCTTGGATATCCCAGGATTCATTGCAAGACCAAGCAAGCCGGCTGCTCTGTGATCAGAGGAAATGGTACTTGGCGCCGAACAGTGATGAATATTGGAAGTTCAGTTTAATATAATATAAGTATGAAAAGTTTCGTCTGAAATGAATGAAAATCGTTGTTTTAATGGTTATTGAGTCAGATATGTGGCGGTAATGTTTGATTTATCTAAAGGTTTTTATCTGTTCCTGTGTAAATGGGTTTGGCTGTAATTAAAGGACAGATTCTAATAGATCTGCAGGGTGGGGACTATAAATCTGATAGGATTTGTATTTTTTAATTGCTATTTTGCACAATTTGCTTAACTAAGTATTTTTGATGCTGAATATAACAGATTTAGCAGATATATTTTTTTATACAGTGTTTAGATTTACTTGAATGTTTTTACCCCTTTTAGAGAATACAATAGAAAATTCCTTTATTGCCCCACAATGGGCAAATTCTGGTGTTTATAGCAGCAAAACTATCATAGGAAAAAATTGTCACACAAATGTGGACCTTAGAAAAATTTATTAGAATAACATAATAGTGAAGAGTTAAAATATAAACAATAAAATACTGTACTGTAAATTCTTTTAACAATATAAAAACTGTGCACCTGGAGAATAAATAACCAATATCCAGATATGGACATTTTTGCAGTAATGGATATTTGAAAATAGCAGCAACATCAGAGATGTGCAAAATGACAGCAGCAGGTTATTTAACTGACTAAGGTTTCTATCATTACATTTGATTTGATTTGTTCATGAACCCGGTGGTTGGAACCTTTATTCCAATCTTTATTATCATGAGTTTATGTCATGATCTGGCCTGTTTGCTCTCCCTTAATTAGTCATTCCTCTCACCTGTCGTTTTCCCTCCCTGCCTCATTATAATTTATTCCTCTCACCTGTTTCCTCTGGTTTATATTCAGTTCAGCCTGCAGCATTCA